GTGCCTGGGATCAGTGACGTCCTCCCATGGCCAGCCACACCCAACCCGACCGCTACGGGCCACGTGTCGCCGCGATGGCAATACACAACCCCCAACCAGGCAGACCTCTACAAGCTGCTTTACTGGAAACGACTACTGCAGCCTCTATTAGGGTTACCGAAGGCCAGAGGATATTCAGCCCGATAGCAGCCTTTCTTGATAAGCATCGGAGTCAGCTAGGCCTTACTCCTAAGTCCTAACCAGCGAGGCGCACTCGCCGCACTCAGCAACGACCTAGCTAATATAGCTCAACAACACTTCAACGCCTATATCAGCGGTGTTCCCTTGATCTTGACTGCGACCCTCCATGCCCCTGTTCCTGCCCCTGCCCCTGCTGCCTCTGCTTCTTTACCCCTTTCTCCCCCCATCTCTTATATTCGAAAGAAAAAGGGTATACAGTCCTCTCAGATACACCCAAATTTAATTGACCAAGAAATAGTATCAGATTTTCTCTTCTTTTAAATCTCTGTACGCTCAGGACAATCTACTCTAATCTTTAATATTTATAATGCTTCTACTGCTGCATCTTCGATTAGGCCTGATAGAGCCGTATAAGAACTGATTAAACTTCCTGACTCTTACTTTACTTAATTAATCCTGCTGGCAGGCAATTTTAATCTGCTATATACCAGATGATAATCTTCACTCCAGCGGAGCCTCTCTACCTCAGCCGAGCCAGTATCTGAATGGCTGAACTAACAGGGACTAGTGCTAATCTCTGAGATTGATACCTTTACGCACAATAGAGGTAATATCCTTGACCTAGCCTTCGCATCAGGCTCTCTTGCTCTTACAGGAGCATATACTAGGGCCGCAGACCACCTAGATACTATATTAGACCATTACCCTCTTCTTACTACCCTCCCCTGGGGACAGAGACACCCAGAGGCTCTACAGAGGTTTAAACTTAGTACTCTAGACATTACCTGTTTCTAAACTCTCTTAACTCTAAACATTAATACCCTCCTAGCAACTGTACATTTAGAAAAGGATTATCTTGCAAGTAAGATTATTTCAGCTGTATACAGTGCATACGAAGCCTCTGCACACAGAACTAGACTACAGGATAGGAGACAGCCCTGATAGAATCCAAACTGTAAAAAAACACTTTCGAAATATCGCGCAGGTTTTTACTTACAAAATGACCTCCGCCGGGTAGTGAGACAGGTACAGCAAAACTACTGGAAAGATAAAATAAACTTAACAACTACAGCTAAAGAGGTATTCGACATATCTAAATGGTATAGAATAACAGGATCTTATCGCAGTCCTCTATTTACAGACCCTTAATAACCAGAGAACCTACCAGAAGTTGATATACAAGCTAAACGTGATATCCTAGCCCGCAATCTCCTGCAGAACTCTGCAGAGGCAGGGGATATATCACTTGACATACCAGCAGTCCCATCCAGGTCCCTACAATTCCTAGAGATAACAATGGCCCAGATAGAGAAAGCTATCTTGCACACAGGAAAAACAACTCTAGGAAGAAATGAACTACCGACTAGCATACTTAACATAGCATGGCTGTCACGGACTGTGACTTGCATCCGAAGACCTTCCTTCGCGATACCCTATGACCTAACTACCCGATCGGGACTAGCTTCAGAGCTGTCCCACACATATCGTGACCAGCTCCTGAATAGCTTCACAACCTAGTTTAGTTTCTTCGTTGAATGCATATCCTACATTTCCGCGATCTCTTATCGCCAGCGTAGCCGTTCGTCACAATGGCCCGTGATTAGAGACAGGGTTCTTGCTCTCTTTCAGGGCTGTTTATCAGTAGGCTACCACCCTCAATGCTTCCGCCATGCAATCCTGGCAATTATTCAGAAACCAAACAAGGTAGACTGGTCCAGCCCTAGGTCGTACAGGCCAATTGCCCTTCTCTCAGTCCTAGGCAAAGGCCTAGAGCGCCTCCTGGTGCGGAATATAGCATATATTGCAATCCGCTATAAGATACTTACTAGCTAACAGTTTGGGGTTTTACCTTTCCGCTCAGCAGTCGACCTAACCACATGCCTGTTGCATAATACAGAGCTAGCATTAAACCAGAAAAAGGCTGTTTCCTTACTGACTCTTGATATCAAAGGAGCCTTTGATGGGGTCTTTCTTGGTAGGCTAATCTACCGATTCCGTACGCAAGGCTGGCCTGACAATCTGATTCGCTAGATAGCTTCTTTTATTACAGGCCGCACAGTTCAGATCCGACTAGACAGTAAGCTAGGGCCTCTAATAGACATACTCTGCGGCCTGTTGCAAGGCTTATCTATATCCCCTATCATGTTCATGCTCTACATAGCCCTCTTGTTCCAGCTGGACGAGCCCCAGGCCAGATTTGGCTATGCAAATGATGCAGCATTCCTTACAATATTACCTACCCTAGGGAAAAACTGCGAAACCCTATCAAACTCTTTGCAAGAGGCCCTGGATTGGGGCCTGTCAGAAGGGATAAGTTACTGCACTTCTTACGGCACAGAGCTAATCAAAATTCTAGCTGTACACTATCAGTATCTATAGAGACTGTCATAATTAAAGAAAATACAATACGCCCGTATTTACGCTAGCTAGAGATTCTTTTTAACAAAAAGCTTAGCTTTAGATACTATATCAGAGAAATAGTTTCAAAAGTTCTAACTGTAGCAAATGCACTTCGCTCCCTTAATAATACAGTACGGAAAGTTAACCCTTACCTTATACGGTAGGCAATTAACGTTTACGTACTCTCTAAAGTTTACTATAGTACTGAAATCTGGTGGCCAGGCTACTCTTGCCCTGATTCATATACAGGAACAATCTTAAACCGGATCCAAGGATACCTTAACAGAGTAACTAAAGTTATACTAGCAGAGGCTAGAACAATTCTTTCAGTTTACTGTACAACTCCAATACCTGCTCTTTACCAAGATTCAGGGCTTCTGCCAGCAGAGATTGAGCTAGATTATATAGCTATTACTGTTACAGCCTGTGTACGCTGCCTCGACCCCTATTACTCACTCTACAGGAGAGCAGAAAAGGTAATCCGTATAAACCTCAAGAAAAGCCGCTTTGTACGCTGCGTACGCGCCCTGCCGAAATCAGAACAAATAAACTTACTGCAAAATGCCCCCTGGCTCCTGCGAGAGTCACGCGAAGCAGCCCAACAGCGGATCAGAGCCCCTGCAGCGGGCCAGACTAAGGAACAGTTAGTCAGCAATTTCCAGGACTTCTATATTTCTCTCCCTCAGATAGATATAAAGGTCTTTACAGACGGCTCAAAACTAGCAAATGGAATGGCAGGCGCGGGTTTTGCTCTATACCAATCTGGGAAACTATACCAACAGTCTTCCTTTTCGCTAGATCCCAACAAAGAGGTCTTTGATGAAGAGGCTGAAGCAGCACTAGCTGGAATCAAAGCAGCTCTTAAATTAATTACAGCCTACCTTGCTACTAACCTCTGGATCTGCCTAGATATCCTATGTGACATCCTGAAGACAGGGAACTTCCCGGTGCGGAGGAACGTTCGGGAGGAACGTCCTGGTTAGTTAGTATAGGATCTAGGGACCCTCCGGTAGGCATACAGGAACCTTCCTGGATGTTTTGCAGGTATTCCTGCCTGAGGCGAAGCCTCGGGCAGTATAAAGAGGCTCTAGATCCTCCTTTCTAAGATAGCCTTTCTTCCCCATGGGAAAATTCCTTGACTACGAGTCATAAACAAACTTGTCTTTTTCTAAGCTCCTTTGTAGACCGTCACAACCTAGAGGCAGCCACGCGCCTCCTCTCACCATTTACAGGTTCATCCCAAGGGGTCTTTAATACCTTCCAAGATCTTGCCTCATCCTGGTCGGCACGGGAACGATATCTATACACTGGCGACAGCTCCGTACGGATCTGCTAGGTCCCTGGTCATATGCAAATACTAGAGAATGAAGTAGCAGACCGAGCTGCCAAGAAAGAAATAGGTATGCCCCTTTCTCTTGTAAGCAAACACTCGTATGCCTCACTAAGGCAGCAGATAAAGGACGACACTATATCTGCCCTTTAGGAATACTGGCAGCTCAAGGCCCCGCAATTCCACCAGGATCTCTAGATTACTAAACCCCCCAGATGCCCTGCAGAACTAAAACTCCCGAGACACTTTCTCGCACGGATCTTGGCTGCCCGTACGGGCTATAGAGATTTCGCAGCTTATCACGAACGGTTCAATAATGAAGACGCACACCTTCTCTGGCGCTGCGGTACAAGGAAAACCTCAGTTCACTTCTTCTTCTGCTGTATCGCGAAGAGACGCCTGCCTCGACCCCCAGGTCCTCCCTCCGAGACAATCCCCTTCCTATTAGGCACCCCGAAAGGCGCGGCCAAGTTAACTGTTTGGCTTGTCGAAACCCGTTTCTTTGAGGACATCTGTACCCGATTTCCCTTACCCCAACTAGACTGAGGCTTCCCTCCCCAAAAAAAACAAAAACACGTGATAGTGGTAGTAGGTGAGGTTACGGAGTGTAGAAGGACCTCTGCAGCTGGCATTTCTTTTCTCTCTGTACCGCACAGTTTTTTTCCTGACTGAAGTAGCTATTACACGCGCTAAAATCCCTTATCTGTACATAGAACTAGCAGCTAGTTAGTGACGCCCATGGCTTACCCCCTGGCGGCCTTTGCCCCAACAGGGGACGGTGGGACAGGTGCTTAGGCGGTGTCACACGGCCGTAAAATACAACAACAACAACAAAACTAACCTGTGAGTAGGTCTACTTTTACTAGCTTTTAAGACCCAACCACGTTAGGAATATATGCTGAAAATCGGCCATGGAATTGACACTTCCTACATGTGATTTCAATCACGTGCATCTGTCCATCACATGTAGATTATATACATACGGAGTATTAGTCTAGCGAACGATCTCATGACTCTAAATTCAAAGTGGAAACTGAAACAGGAAAACCAACATCTCCAACAACAAACAACATGTTCAAAAAGCAAAACATCAAGAAGGCAAAACCAACGGTAAGAAAATCGGTTCCTGCACCCCCGCCATTAACTTCAGATACTCTCCCACCATGGGACTCATGCCCGCTTGCACGGCCTGCTGGATCCAGTCCACCAGGTCTAATGTCCGGATGTCCTCGCCAGTCTCTTTCTTCAAATAATCTTTAAACTCTTCCACGGGCAACACGACGTCTCCGGCGTGATGATAGAAGTTTAATAGTTCTTCTCCATTTGATTGGTCGTTGGGGTTGTCATCTCCATCATCTCTATCGTGCCCGTCAGACCTCACCGCCGTGAGAATCCGTCTCGCCACGTTCTCCACGTCCACGAAATCAAGCCACCCCGCCAGAATACTCCCTAGCACAGGGACGGCTCTCATCGCCCGCGAGAACCGCACCACGTTCGGGAAAATATCCTGCTCCGGTGCGCCGGGCCCCGTGATGGCTGTTGGTCGGTGGATGTGCACGTCCACGCCCCATTGCTGGCTTGCTTGCTCGAGATATATCTCGCCAACCCATTTGCTGGATGCGTAGCCTCCAATGCCGTTTTCGGTGGGTGGAGAGAAGGCTGCGATGGAGATAGCGGGGAACCCTGGGGCGGTTTTTGAGGGTGGCGCGAATTGGATCACGCTGGCTGTTGAGACGAAGTGGAGGGCTAGATGGTGAGTGCGGGCTTGATGCGCTAGCCATTTTGTGGAGGCCACGTTGGCGGAGTGCATGGCTGCGTAGGGTTTCAGGAAGTGCACGTCCGCGGCGTTGTGGATGATTGTGTTTGCTGATGCGAAGATCTGATCGCTGGTTTCTGGGTCCAGCCCGCATAGAGGGAGGCCGAGGTCACCTGAGTGGATGGTCACTCGGGATACGGAGTCCGGGGGGATGCTGGATACTAGGCGAGAGGGGGTTCGGACGGCGATGCAGTGGATCGTTTTTATGGTGGGATCTGCGAGGAGTTGTTGGAAGAGGACTTGGCCGAGGAAGCCTGTTGCGCCTGTGAGGATGATGATGTGGCCCTGCTTGTGGCGTGGCTTCCGTTGTGGAGGCTGAGTTGCTATCGGGTCTGCGTCGAGGGCGATTTCTTGGGCCCAGTCGATTCTGTCCCAGGTTTTGTTGGCGGAGTTGGTGATATACGCGGCCATCTTGGCTAGAGTTGTCCGCTCGAATAAGTCGACCAGCACGGTTTTTCGACCAAAGGCTCGGGTGATGGATTGCTGGAGTTTCACAAGGAGCATTGAGTTTCCGCCTACGTGGAAGAAGTCCGACTTACGGCCGATTTGATGCAGCTGGACTACTGCCGGGGGTAGGACCTCTTCCCACAGAGCTCGGAGATGTGCCTCTGCTTCGGTGAGACTGGATTCATTGTCCGTGGTGTTGATGGGAGGAGTGACATGATAGGGTAGGGCCTCGATCGCGCGTCGGTCTATCTTGCCATGTGGGTTGATAGGTAATGAGTCGGCGATAATAACCGCTGCCGGCCACATGTACTGGGGCAAAGGCAAGGACGGCGTGAGAGCATCCACGAACGCTCGTTGCTCCTCCGAACTCAAGTCCTGTTGCTGCTTGCGATGGAACATCACATGTGCTAAGAGGTACTGCACGTCGGTATCTCCTCGCACAGTGACGATGACCGTCGTCAGCCGGCCTTTCGCCGCCTCAAGCAGCGCGCATTCAATATCGTTCAAGTCCATGCGCAAACCTCGGAGTTTTATCTCCGTGTCACCACCGATCCGGCCTTCAAAATCCAGGATACCGTCCGGTCGCAACCTGCCGCGATCACCAGTGCGATACCCTCGCAAATCGCTGTTACTGACGCTCAAAGAGCTGGATCGTGGAGCCGTGAACTGCACGAATTTCTCGCGGCTCAAGTCCTCGTTATTCAGGTATCCAAGCGCAATTCCAGGGCCGGTAATGAGGATTTCGCCTGGTACCCCAACTGGCACCGGCATCAGATTTCGATCCACCACAAAAGCCGAGTAATTCACATTTACAGGGCCCAAAGGTACGGGTTTATTCAAAAGTGAACGGTAGTCGACCTCGAACGAGTGCGAAAAGATACTCACCTCCGTCGGACCATACAGGTTGTGTAAGTGCAAATCCTGCTTGCCCAGTGTCTGGACCTCGTGCTTGAGGCTGTCGCTCATTTTCTCGCCGCCCGAAAACAGAACTTGCCATTTGGACGTGGCAAGGGCGGACGCTTTCTGGGGCAGGGAGTTGGTGAGTTGCAACCAGCTTTCGTACTCCGATGGAGTTGCTAGTGTATGGGTCAGTTCGTGCTTCAGAATCCGATCGACGATGGCAGCTGGGTCGCCTCGGTATTCCCTTCGGAGTAGAAACAGGCGTCCTCCGTTGCTTAGGGCCATGAATGCTTGCGTCACAGATGCGTCGAACGTTAGTGCACTCTGCTGCAGCATAGCCATATCTGGTCCGAGCGCGAACATCCGGCTTGATGTTTCGAGCCTCTGCGCAAATCCCGAATGGGCGAGGATGACTCCCTTGGGTTGGCCTGTGGAGCCACTTGTGTACAGGATGAACATGGTGGAATCTGGCTTTGATCGATTCGCGACCGTGGTTTGGTTGGTCATCTTCGCCGTGGCGACGTCGATGGAGATCACGTCGGGCTGCCCGGCTAACAGCTCAGGGACATCCTTTGCGTTAGCTGAGTGAAAGAGGACGACCTCCGGCTGACAGCTTTGGGCGATCCGCTGGAGTCGAGGGAGTGAAAGCTTAGGGTCAAAGGGAATATAAATCGCTCCTATCCGGAGGACAGCCAACATACAGCAGACCCAGTCGATGGAAGGCTGTTGGAACACAGCCACTTTCCAACCGGGAACTACACCGTGGCTCAACAGAACCGCGGCGATGGCGTGCACGCGGATAGACATCTCCGCGTATGTCAAAGACAGTGAACCATCCTCGAGCGCGGGCCGCTTAGGGAAGCGAGCCACTATCTCGTCAAAGCGGTCTACCAGAGTTCCTTTCCATTGCAGCGCATACTTCGGGCCTTGTGACAACGTCATAGCTTTATCGATATCCTCAGCCGCGTAGAGCTGCGCTTCATCCAGCCTGAATTCCAGACTCTGGCTGAAGGCGCTCAGCAGCTGCTTGAAGCTGGCCGCTAGGACCTCGGTTTGTTCCGGCGAATACAAATAACTCTGCGTCACAAACATGATTGTGGCCTCGGACGGCGCGTTCTCGATCACATCCAAGCTAATGTCGTACCCCGTCTTCCCAATTTCATATTTATCGCCATCAAGGCGGCAATTACCGAATGGCAAACTTTCTTGCGCGCCCTGACGATAGTTCACAACAGCCTGGAATAGGGGAGAGTATGATGATGACCGGGTGACCTGTAACTCATTGTATAGCACGTCGATGGGGACTTTGGAATGCGCTAGGGCCGAATGCGCTTGGGTGCGTGCCTCCTCTAGGGCCTGCGCGAATGAAGCCTGACCGTCTCCGCGCAAACGGACTGGTAGAAGATTCAAGTAGAAGCCCACACTGTCCGGCGCGCCACTAAGATGGTTTCTATTGCCGTCGGCCACCCCGATGACGAGGTCGTGACTCCCTGAGAAGCGATATAGCAGAGTTTTGAATACGGCTAGGTAGAGATGGAACGAGGTAGCTCGGTGTTTGCGTGCAGCTTGCTTGATCTGCGCTCCAAGAGCCCGCGGGACCTTGAAGTCTACGCGATGATGTGCGTATTGCAGCATTGGCTGGCGGGTCGACCGCGCGGAGACAGATAAGATGGGGAGAATATCAGGCATATCGCGCAGCTCATCGCGCCAGTACTCGATATCGGAATGAACGGCGTTGCTCTCTATCTGCTGGTACTGCCAGGTAGAGAACTGGTGATATTGAAGTGGTTCAGACCCCAGCGCCCGTCCGCTGTAGACCGCTTCTAGATCCTTCAGAACCACCTGCAGACTGATTCCATCCATGTTGATGTGATGGTAGCCGATAATGATATAGTGACTCTGAGAGGGCCCCGACAAGAACATGATGCGCATACTCTCACCCATGGTGAGGTTGTATTCGTGTGCGTGCATGAGATGGAATTGTTGAACAGCTTCGTCGTAGTTGCGGACGGAGCCCCTCTCCAATTCCAACGTGGACTCGGGCAGAATTCCTTGCCATATTCCGCCCTCCTCTACCTCGAAGAAGCAAGTCCGCAATGCGGTATGTCTGGTTCCAAGTGCGTGGACAGCCCGCGCTAGGGCTTCCATAGCAGGAGCTCCGCTGAGCCGGATCAAGCAGGTGATGTTGAATGTCGTCCTGTCTTCGAGGTATTTGGACAAGAACCAGAATCGACGCTGTCCATACGACATTTGCTCGCGTTGTACGACAGGCGGTGGCCCGATCTTGGTGGTGTCCGGCTCGCTAGTGGATGTGGACGGAATGGAGCCATTCAAAGGAGTAGATATCATCTCTGCTTTTGAGCTGTCCATGGAGTGGATAGATGCAGTCTCTTCGAATTGCTCGGAAGCTTCCTCAACCTGCTCTGAGGCATTGTCGAGCGGCTCATTAGCGCTTCCCTCCACGGCTGCAGGCTGGAGTTGCTTGACCGCGTAGGCGATCAAATCGGTGATTACAGTGCCTCCCATAATCTTCAGCACAGGCATATCCACGCGCAGCTCACGCAGCCACCATGACCGAATGTCTACCGCCACAAGGGAGTCAACCCCGAGCTCATCCACACCTTGACTAAGCAATCTGGCGCGGGCCGTTGTATCCTCAATTTCCGGCAAAGATAGAGCCATTACAAGTTTCTGCAAAAAGGCATCCTCCACAATTTGTCCAATCTCAGCTTCGTCAAGCGCCTCCGCCACACTCGTCGCAAGAGAAACCATTGACTGCGCCTGTGCATGGGCGGAAGATGAGATTGACTCAGTTGGCAGAATACAGTGGGAGAAGCGAGGATTCTGCTCCCATTGCACGGTATTCAACTCATCACGGCGACAAAGCCGGATGCCTGCCAGCACCTGCGGGTTCTCCACCGCGTTATCCGGTCGGCCAGCCAGAATGGCCTCGGCGAAGCTCTGGTGGAAGTCGTACTCAGACATCCATAAATAGCCGTAGTCGCGCAGCTGGACCTGCAGGGCGTAGCTACGGTCACGTACCAGCACCCCCACGCCCATCATGGCCCCGATATCGATCACCGAGCCTACCAGTCCCCGCTCTTTGCGTTGTGCCGCGAGCCCGGCCATGAACATGTTAGCCGCTGTATAGTTGGCTTGTCCACTGTTGCCGCAGGCACCCGTTAGAGAGGATAGCATGATGAAGAAGTCGAGAGGGTGGCTCTCTGTGAAGATGGAATTGAGGTATCGGCTGCCGTCGATCTTGGGGCGCAGCACTGTGTGCATATTCTCGACATCCATATCGTAGATGGAGGAATCCCGAAGTACCATGGCTCCGTTGACCACGCCAGCAATGGGTGGGACAGTCTCTTGCAGTTGCCCGTATAGGGTCTGCACTGATTTGGGGTCCGTAATATCACTAGGTTTTGGTTGTTAATGACTCTTTGGGGCGGTTCCCGGGAATGGGATGTTCTCTTACCTGGCAATCACAGTGATTATTGCTCCCTTCTGACGGAGGCATTGTATCCATCGCTCGTCTACCCTGGGACTCCGACTGGTGACGACTAGGTGTCGAGCGCCCAGTCGGACCATCCACTCACAAAGCGACAATCCCAGCCCACCCGTAAGACCTACGAGCAAATAAGTCCGATCGGCGTGGAACAAAGGCTGTGCTTCAGCGGGGTCTAGCTGGGCCACGACAGATTGCGCCTGCCAGTCAATCAGGGCATAAGGAGAATCGAGCCTTTGTGGCAGCTCCGCAAGTTTAATGAGATGCCCAGAAGATGGGATAGCACTACCATCCCCATCGACGCGGAACTGCTCGTACGCTCGCTGTAGTGCATTCACGCCGTTATTATCGGGAAGAGTACAGGCTCCTGCGCCTCGCACCAGTTGCATCTGAATCAGGCGGCAATCGTGCATGGTCGAGAGACGACGCGCTGCAGAGTCATATTGGGGCGATTGCGAGAAATCGAGGACGACCGATGGTCGCGTGGGGATTGATGCTCTCAACTCTCGATCATTGGCTCTTCGATGAAGAACGACATCCCTTGGATTATTGGTCTTGTTGTGCGTGGCCCAAACTATGTTGTATCCCCTAGCTCGAGCAAGACTGGAGAGAATGGTTCGTGAATTGGATTCAACATCGAAAGCAACGACGCTGGTCCCGGGAACAGCGTCTCGCAAGACGCTTTGGATGAGCAGGCGGGTTATCAAATACTCGGTTATAACAACATCAGCGGGGGTGACCTCCCGGTTCTTATCTCCATGGAATATGCACAGCTCTTTCTCCACAGCGACCTGACTGGCTAGTCTGGGAGCCAGTGCGAATAGCGTCCTGTCCGAAGCCTTGCAGCGTCCAAAGACGATATACTGAGTCTTGCCAGATGCTAGACTGAGCGGTTGTGTGGCGGAATAAATCACGCTTACGAGTACCATATTGCCCGCTGGCGACAGCTGAGGTTCGTGATCCAGGTGAATAGTAGTTTCGCCCGACGCGGCTCTCTGCAGGCAGATTGCAGTGTCCGAAGGATTGACAGATTGGGGGACCAGTCGTCTTCGCGCGTTATACCGATCGTTCTGAGCCTTGTGTGGAATAACTCGAGGAATGTATGTTTTGCCATTCTTAATCAGGAGCTCAGGCTCATTTGACCAGAGCACAGACGAAGCACTGGCCGAATCTTGCCGCTCCCTACCAAGGAGACAGAGACGCACGGCATGCTCTGCGATAACTCGTGCGTCTGCTGCCTCGATTTCATTCCCGATATCCAAGAATTGGAGATTCAAATGCGGCATTTCGAGCATCGCAGTTCGCCCAAAGCCAACTGTAGCGTTACAGTATGGCTCGCTGCTACGCGCCCCTCGGAGTAGCCAGAGGATGTTCTGTGATTGGTCGAAAAGCGTCTTCAACGCGTTCCATATATCTTCTCGCAGATTTTTGAACACGGGACTATCCAAATCACTGAGACAGATGATTGTGCTGAGGGCGTTAATTGGGGTATCGGCCAAGTCATTCAAAGAGTCGCGTCTGGTCATTCGGGGGCATTTGGGAGATAAGTGGACCGACAGATCCTCAATCAGTCTGAGTGTGGACATGCTCGTGCCCCCCACTAGAACGACCTCCGAGAGGTCCAAGTCTGATGGAGTGCTGAGCAGGGGTTGACGCAAGAGCGCGACTCGCTCGTTCGTCGCTTGACTGACAATGATACTCAATGGCTGACCTGAAGACGATGAGTGAAGCGCGTCTATGCCAGCAAACCCGTGTTCTCGAAGCTGACGGTGCCATTCTGGAATTGTCAAAGGCATCGTCTCGGCAATGTCACTGTAGAGATCAAAGCGGGCCAGCTCTCCCACGGTCTGCAAGAAAAGATAGCCTCCGGGGCGAACCAAGCGTCTAGCGGCCTTGAGCATATCATCAACGGGGACATCACTGAGCACCAAACTGGCTATAATGAGGTCGGACTGGTTGGCCGCGAAGCCCTGCTCCTCGACTTTCCGTTTGAAGTCTATCGTTGAGATGCTCATCCGTGCCTTCGAGGGTATTATTTCCTTGAAGACTTCCATGCGAGATTTTGGCGAGGCCAGGGTATAAGATGAGAACCCCGGGTTTATGTCTTGCAATATTGATGCGGCTAAGCTTAGGTTGCTCGCGTCTGGCTGGGGGTTAGCCTAATATCCTGTACCGTGTTTCATTTTCCGGCCACTGGTGCACTTACTGAGTTCAACAATATTCATTGCAGGATACCGATGTAACAGCCGACGAAGCAACCGGCCCAGCTGGCTGTTAGAGCTAGCCACCCCCAAGCCTCGCTTGAAGTATTTGGAAAGAAGATCGGTTTCCCAAAGCTTCTGCGCATGGCTACCTGTATGTTCCCGGTCACTCTGGGACAGGAAGCCTACGGTGTTAACCAAGATAGTTAGATCGATATCCTCTGGGTCAGACAAGTCAGGTTGTTCTGCTGCAGCAGAATCTGCTCCTTCCATTGTGGTAGGCTCCTCTTCCTGTGACTCAGAAAGTGCAAGCAGATGGCGATTAATTCTGGCGATACCAGCAGCATATTTATCGGCGGGCTCATTGAGGCTAGCGGTGTCGACAAGATGCTTCTTCGCGGCTGCAATGATTTCCCTTCCTTTCTCCTCAACACAGGGTGGTGAAGAGACCGAGCTTGCATCATCAAGATTGGCATTCTCCCAAACCTCACTCGCAAAGAGTGCCCTGTCGTCCGCAGCCGTAGGTGGTACGACTGGAATGACAGTGATCTGCTCGACTCGAATAGCGGCTGCTTCATTAGCTGTGCGCGACAACGTGATGTCTGCATTTATAGAAGCCTTTAAGCCTTCCTCGGACTCGGTGTGGAAATTAAACCTTTTTCCGGAGGTCACACACAAGGCCGGATTCACTTGCACTCGTTTGATGCTTGTCGGGACGTGCAGCGACGAAAGACGGCCATCCCCAGGCCAACTGTAGGCTAGAAAGACTGACTGGAAAGAGGCATCTAACATAGCAGGGTGAACGAGCATGTCAGTAAACCCTTCAACATCGGATTCAGGCTGATAAACAACACCGGTGCTGAGATTGAGGTATCGTGCCAAGTTAGCTAGTGCTTTGAAGGGCCCCGTGTAATAATAACCCAGTTCTTTCAACCCGTCATAGAACCTTTCCGTATCTACCTGGATAACATCCTCAAATACCTGGCGGGCAGAAGGGAGGGTTTCTTCCTGAGGAGTGCCCAACGTGACACAGACGCGACCATGGGCTGCCAATATGAGAGACTTCGACCCCCGGCCAGCAGTGGTATGACAATTGAACGTGGCGGTCAAGCGTCTATCAGAGCCATCTTGCGATTCGCGCGCGATGTTTGCAAGTGCCACGACAACATCTGCTCCAGCATCATCCTTATCGAATGTTATCGGTCGATCGATGATGAGGTCAAGGACCTCTATCAGGGATATGCTATGCTCACGGCCCGCCACCGACCTAGTTGCTTCAATTGCCATCGAAATGTACCCTGAAGCCGGGAAAATGATTTGCCCCTGCATGGAATGTCCCCGTAGCCAAGGAATCTCCTTGAGAGATAGGATATTTCGCCATTGAGCATAATCCGGGTTGCTTGTTTGACGATTTCCCAGTAGGAGATGTGGGAATGAGTCGCGAGTCAGTTCATCATGTATAACACGGGACTCATGCCAGAAAGGACGACTGTGATCCCAGGGGTAGAACGGCAGGTTTCGTACGAGCTGGTATTTTTCATCGGTATCCGAAAAGACCGCCTGCAGTTTGGGAGGGTTCAGGGCATCACGTCCAAACCGAGCCCATATGAAGCTCATAGTATCACTGAAGGCTTTTACGTCATGGGAATTGCGATGTAGCAACCCTGTATAGGGAAGCTCCGATTTTAGTGCGTCCTGGATAGTCGCCGTTGCAGGTCCCTTCAGCGCTGGATGCGGGCCCACCTCGAGAACCAGATGATAAGGATCGGAGTGTTGGATTGCCTTGGTGAGTGCATGTGAAAACAACACCGGACGGCACATGTTGTCGACCCAATATTGTCCCTCGAGGCCTTCAGCGCCGGTGATTATATTCCCATCATACACACTTGAGTACCATGGGCAGCGACGCTCGTTCACCTGGATTCGTAAGGCGTCCAAGGAACTCCCATACAGGCCTGCACAAGGGCGCATATGATGAGAGTGATAGGCTTTGTCGACCATCAACGGGCGCGCGAACTTCTTCTCGTCCTGGAAGACAAGGTGTGCGTGGTTGACAGCATCCTTATCACCCGACATTGTCACGCTCGCCGCGGAGTTGCTAGCAGCAACAGTCAGTCTACCAGCAAAGGTAGGCAGCTCGCACAGCTCTTGGGCATCTTCCATAGATGTTCCGGCCGCAAGCATACCTCCCGGTGTTCCCTGTTGGCCGCCTGCCTGCGCTGTATGCAATCCGCGATAATACGCGATCCACATAGCCGCCTCGTCTGATAAGCACTCCGCGGCATATGCTGCTCCGATCTCGCCAGATGAGTGACCGACGACTGCGGAGAACTCAACTCCTGCCGCTTTCAAGCAGTCCACAAGAAGAATCTGGACTGCGGTACACAATGGCTGGGATAGACGTGCTTCTCCAACTTTGGCGCCAGGAGATAACATTTCCTCTTTAAGCGACCACGTCGGACGGTCCTCCTCGGGTAGACGAGATAAGCTTTCTTCTAATTCGGCCACGCGACGCTCTAACCAAGGGGAGCTTCTGATAAGTTCGCGTCCCATCGTGGGCCACTGAGCTCCTTGTCCGGTAAAGACGCCTAACACGCGTAGCTGTGCATGGCCGATACTGACAGGTTTCACCACTGGAGATTGACTGTGTGTCCGAATCTTATCCGCGCTAACAAGGAGGTTATTAACCAAATCTGAGGCATTGGTCCCAGAACAGGCAGCTCGGATAGGCCACAAACTCCGACGGAAGTACAGAGTCCACGCAAGATCGGCAAGATCGGTATTGGGGTATTGTCGAAGATGAGTGGCAACCCTTTCCATCATGTCGGCCAGAGCCAATTCGGACTGTGCTGAGAAGACGAACGGCATGATGACAGGACCACTGTGTCTGGACCTTCGCTGCTGAATGTTTGAATAGCTTTCTAAGATGGCGTGGGCGTTCGTTCCACCGAATCCAAAGCTGTTCACGCTGGCTCGACGAACTGAGCCTGAATGCGCTGGCCATTCTTGCAGCTCAGTCGGAATACGCAGACGCGTCCAATACGGCTCAATCTCTGAGTTCAATGTGCGGAGATGCATGTTGGGAGGGATCTGAGCATTTTGAAGTGCCAAGGAAGCTTTGAAGAGACCTGCCAAACCTGCAGTACCCTCCGTGTGTCCTATAATTGTCTTGATAGAGCCAACTGTTAGATTGACCTTTCCGTCTTCGTCTGCTCCCGGTCCAAAGAAGGCATTAAAGATGGCTCTCGCCTCTTGCGGGTCTCCTGCCTTGGTGCCAGTGCCATGAGCTTCGAAGAATTGCGGCCGGTCTTTGACGAGATCCAAGCCACCGGCTTTGTATGTCCTGCGAATCAATTCGGCTTGAGCGTCGCTGCTAGGCATGGTGATACCTTTCGTACGCCCATCCTGATTGACGCCGGTGGCCCTAATCACACATTCGATACTGTCACCATCTTCCAGTGCCGTTGAGAGCTTCTTCAAAACGATCGCAGCGACACCATCACCACGGGCGTAGCCATTCGCACGGCCATCCCACATGCGAGATCGACCGTCGGGTGAGAGCATCTTCAGCTTGCTCTCAGCAATGTACGGCTCAGGTCCGAGGAGAAGATTAGAGCCCGCGGCAACGGCAACACGAGACTCGCCTGACCGGAGAGCCTGGATTGCCTGGTGAACAGCGACCAAACTGGATGAACATGCGGTGTCAATTGTCCACGAAGGGCCATGCCAGTCAAAAGCATACGAGACTCGATTCGCCATAATTGCTCGGGAGGTTCCGGTCGCAAAATAAGTGGGCAGCGTATCCAGATCGCGGGTCAGAATGTCATTGTAGTCAGCGCACATCTGGCCCACAATTATAGCGGTATTCGATCCCCTGAGGCTCTCTACTGGCAGGCCACCGGATTCTAGAGCTTCATAAACAACCTCAAGTAGGAGCCTCTGCTGGGGATCGATAGCCGCCGCTTCATTTGCGCTAATCTGGAAGAAACCGGCGTCAAAGGTCCGTACATCCTCCGTCAATGTATATGCATGTCGAACGTTGCTGGAGCCATGGTGCAATCCATCCGGATGATAGAAACTGGCTGCGTGGTAGCGCTCAGCTGGGATCTCGCGCAGGACGTCCCGGGGTTTTGATAGTAATTCCCAGAGCTTGACGGGCGAATTTGCTTGTCCTGGAAATCGGCAGCCACTGCCAATGATAGCGATAGATTCAGTAGACATGTTGTTTATCTGCGAACAAGCCCTGCCGGTTGACATGTTCTCGTTGACCTTCTCTCCTACAGCGCCAACAGCCCTCATCCTTTATATTATGGTACACTCGTTGAAACATCTCGTGTTCGGGTAATCAAAAGCCAGAGTAAGTGAGTATTTTTCTGCTATAACGCTGGATTATTATGTGTGCCGATACAATAAGCCGGATGGTGAAGTCTGAAGGTGTGTTTCCGATGGAAGACGGAAGCGAGGCTAGAGGCCGATGCCTGGGGCAGCGAGTTCGGAGACATTTTGCACCTGCGTCGGCTTCGGACTCGGAATCTACAACTCTGCAAAATGTCTCCGAACAGCTCAAAAAGACCGCGGAAATGGGTTTCTCGCCATCTTTCCTCTGTTTCTCTTTTTACCAAACGCAAGAGACCGAAATTATTTACCATTGCGCACTCCGACTTGCGATCCACCGAACAACATGATGGAAACCAAGAACAGTTCTCCCAAGCCGGCTGATACAGCTGATACACCACCAGCCGAGATCTCGGACGAGCCAAAGTCTACCTTCAAGCCTGATGTCCGGTTTTGGTTGGTCTTTGCTGCGCTGTGTGTGACTTCCTTGCTGGCCGCTCTCGAAGGAACTGTCACGTCCACTGCTCTTCCTACCATTGTCGCTGAGCTCCACGTTGGCCAAGATTACCCATGGGTATCCAACGTCTACTTTTTGACTACGTACGTGAAATATCTTAATTGCGCAAGCTTGCCGTTAAGTACAGAAGCTAATTTGTTTGGCCCTGCATAGAGCATGCTTTCAGCCGCTCTACGGACAACTCTCCAATGTCTTCGGTCGCCGGTATCCCATGATTTCGTCCGTCGTCTTCTTCATCCTCGGTAGTGGTATTTGTGGAGGTGCCTCGAGCGCGGCCATGCTTATTGTTGGTCGTGGGATTCAAGGCGTTGGAGGAGGCGGAATCCTAATGCTCATCGAACTCATCGTATGCGACTTGGTCCCCTTGGCTCAGCGGGGCGCATATATTGGACTGATGTTTGTCTTCTTCGCTATCGGCACATCACTGGGCCCATTTATTGGCGGTACCATTGTTAGCAACACTACCTGGCGATGGGTCTTTTACCTTAATCTTCCGATCGGAGGCGTGGGTCTAGTTCTGCTGATCCTCTTCCTACAAGTGAACTATAACCGCGAGATGTCCATTGGGGAGAAGCTGAAGCGCTTAGATTACTTCGGAAACTTGCTGCTGATTAGCACAATTGTGTCTATTCTGATTGCGCTTAGCTGGGGCGGCACTCGTTACCCCTGGTCCTCAGGCCACGTTATCGCACCTCTAATTATCGGTCTCCTTGGAATTCCAGCATTTATTTTCCTTCAAGGTACTCCGCTTGTTAAAGAGCCGACCACCCCATTGCGACTGTTTAGCAACCGCACTTCAACTATAGCGTTCTTTAACACCTTTATACACGGCCTCGTCAGCTTCTGGATTCTGTATATGCTTCCGGTCTACTTTCAGGCTGTTCTACAATCTTCCCCCGAGCGCTCCGGCGTGCAGCTTCTCCCGACTGTGATCTCTATGATTCCTATTGCCGGAGTATCGGGCGCAATTCTCTCTAAGACAGGTAATTATAGAATACTCCAAATCGTCGGCTTTGCCCTCCTTACTATCGGCCTTGGCACTTTCACGGTACTAGGCCCCGGCTCTTCCACAGCAGCGTGGACGTTGACGCAGATGGTCGCTGCGTTCGGCGGTGGAGTGATTATGCCCGTATCTCTGCCCGCGGTCCAGGCCGGGCTCGAGGAGAAAGACGCGGCGACTTCTACAGCACTATGGGCCTTTATCCGCAGCTTCGGCATGATCTGGGGTCTCGCGGTACCCGCAGCTATCTTCAACAATCAATTCGATAAGTTTGCCTCGTCGATCAGCGATAGCTCGGTACGTGATATGTTTTCTGGGGGTAATGCGTATGCCTACGCCTCGGGTGCAACCATCAATGCGCTCCCAGCCCGGGTGCGAGCCGAGACTATCGATGTGTATACCCGTAGTCTGCGGGTGGTGTGGCAGGTGTCCATCGGTTTTACGGGGTTGTCGTTCCTGCTCACCTTCTTGCAGAAGAGCATCAAGTTGCGGTCGCATCTGGAGACGGATTACGGGCTGAAGGAGAAGGACGCAAAGGAGGGTTCGGATAGAACTTTGGGGGCTCATTAATCGCATTCAGGATAGCCGTGTTGTTAGAGGCAGGGTGAGATGCTTTTGAACTTGCCTGTTATTTTTCGTTGGCGCCCTGTAAGCCTGTAAAGAAGGCTAAGTTGGCGAGGAAGGATGGGCTGGATGGTGCGTCTATAGAGCGAGGACCTTTTCTCAGAATTCTGCTCAATACTCGCAATTTAGCTAATAGTACCGAGCTAAAATATCGAAACTTGACATTTCTGCTTCTGCCTAACCCTGTATAACTTCAATACTCCGTTTAACATCCCACTGCTCATCCAAGAACTGGAACAAACGCTGCTGAAGAAGACGCCACGCACCGACCTTCCCTTGCAGCCCACCATCTCCTGCCTCCTTCGCAATCCAAACATGCCGTTTCTCCTCCGGCAAATGATCCAACGCCTGCTCGATCCTCAACGTACTAATCTCCGGCGCAGTGTAAATCGTCTGCGCTGCTCCACTAATCATCACCGCACACTTCACCTGACGAAGATAATTCCCGGATCCCTCATCACCCTTTAACGAATACCTCTGCATCTCGCGCATCGCCTCGGCCGGCGTCTCCTTCCCAAAAATCCACATAACATGAGTCAGCTCCCACTTGAGCTGGAAATTCCACCGTGACAACACCCGCCACGTCGCATCGAACATCCCATCCGTGATCCAGCCCGCCAGCCACGCCCGAATAAACCACACCGGCATGCGCGACGTCGCCAGGTCGAACATATCGTAGAAAGGATCCACGGCGACGCACGCCGACACGCGAGCATCCACCGCTCCTCGCAGCGCATAGTACGCCCCCATGGAAACCCCGGCCAGGGCAATCCGCGACACGTCCAACAACAACTCGGGCTGCTCCTTCGCCAGCTTCTCCACGTAATCCAGCACAGAGGCCATCACCTCCTCCCAGTCCGGGCGCATTTCACTCCTCCCTTCGCGCAAACTCGCGCCCTGCCCGGGTCCATCGAACACCAGAACCGCATATCCGTGCTGGCATCCGCTCGCCCCGTAGAGCAGGTACAGCTCCTCAGAGGTCGAATCCGCTCCATTGACACACACAACCACAGGAAGAAGCCCCTTACCCTTCCGAATCGTCGTCATCTCATGTCCCTGGCCCGGCAAAAACATATACCCCGGCAATTGCCCTCCGCCGGAGTACGGGATCTCCAGAACGCGTGTGCGGTGCCCGAGCATCGGAATCGCCCGATGAAACGCATTGACGCTCCGCGTGAAAAGCGCTCGTACGCGCGCATCCGGGCTCCCCGGTCTGTCATTGAACATGTATTGGCTGGCGCGGAAGTAGTTGGCGGCGCGCAGGAAGGCGTCGCGCGCGGCAATGCGATCGCCGTGCTTCGTGGCCTCTAAGGCTATCGCGTGCGCCTTCTCGGCCTGGATGAGCCAGCCCCAGTACCAGCTCTCTGGGTCATCGTTGGCGATTTGCACGGCTGCGTCGAGGCATTCGGCGAGCTCGGCGCCCCCAAAGGAGATTGTGCCGAGGATTCGCGTGAACTCGAAGTTGAAGAAGGAGGAGGGGAAGAATTGATACATGTTGATTTAGGCTGTTTTGAGAAAATAAGGACATGTATACATATGGTGGTTATAAATTAGTGGTTCTTATATCGGAGACATTTTCCATCAAGTTTTGCCGGATCGGCGAGTCTCGGACAATGAACCGGGTTTGGTATCTTCGTTGCTTATTTACAGTCGTGATCGGGGTCGGAAGTATTTGCATCTCGGAGGACTTGGGCTACTGGTGTGCTCTATATAATGAGGCAGAACGTGTTCCTGAGTTATGTTCCTCATTCCCACCGCACAGCTTTTGTTACCTCGCACCCTACATCTCAAAGCCAACCAAAGCCCACCATGTCTGAAACTGGATACAAAAAGGTCCTCCGCCTCGCAGGCTCCTACTACAAACTCCCCGAGGTCTCCGAGGAGGACTTCCACTCCTTCATGTCCAACGACCACGCAGTCAAAGCGGCCAAAGTCCACGAGAAATACGGGACCCTCCACTACCAATTGGTTCGTGCTCACTATTACCTACAAGACCCTAACATACATACCACAGTCTAACTCAAAGCACCGTGCAAAGGCAATCGGAAACAGCCACACTCGCGAGCTGGCCCACGGCCTGAAACTCCCCTGGAAGATCGACGACCACGACGTGACCATCGAGTTCTACTTCACCGATGTATCTACCCTGCTCGCCGTGTCCGCGGACGAGGAATTCAAGGCTCTGCACGTCGACTCCGAGAACTTCGTTCGTCTTGATGCGACTACTGTGGCTGTGACTTGGGTGGAGGTGTTCCTCAAGGATGGGAAGCTGGTTCATATTAGCCCGGACGGAAAGTCTCAGCATCCACCGTTTGCGGAGCGGATTGATTTCGTGTTGCCTGAGAAGCCAGCGGCGAAGTATTATTAGTTTATTGGTTTTATGGTTAGGATGGTTAGGGTTGGTAGTCCGAGGGGATCGGAGGTATAGGTCATAAGTGGACTTGTTCATCATAATGGATTAGTGCTATAAGCCCCTATCTCATAAGAGTGAGCTTCATGGTATCAATCAATTAGAGCCAATTCGGATATTTGAACGATATAATGCCAGTTATAAAACTCCATCTCATAAGTGCAAGCTGCATGAGTATCAATTGGTTCGAGCCAATTCGGATACCTGTGATGATGTAATACCAATTATCGACGCTCCATACACGTTGGTTGTTATACTTATGATGGATAGTCTTCCCTCTGATCCAGCTCAATCAAGACGAAGTGAACATGAACCAATTATCAGGAGCAGATAGAAATAGCCTAAACACCTCTAGTAGACCCTGAAAAAGAAGCTTCATTCAAATCTATAGATCCATCTGGCACTTATCAACAATATACACCAACTTCTCCCCGGAGACCTTCTTAGCCTTAAGTAAACCCAGTCCCCGAGGAATATCCTCCCAGCCCTCATCCATCACACGGACCGGATGGGCCCTCAGTTCTCCATTCTGCAGCATCCGCTCCACCTCCTCAAACATCTCCCGACCCAACACTCGATGTCTGGGATCCGCCTCCCTGCCATATCCCCGATCGAGCGCGATCCGTTTACCGAAGATGCTCAGCGCCAGCACCCATCCCATAGACACAGCCTTACGCAGCCGTAACTCGTCGCCGAACGCCTCCAACCCGCAGTACATGCCCCCCGCGCGCCCGATACTCCCCAGGCAGAGACCAACGGTCTCCGGCGCCGTGATACAGTCCAGCACATACCGGAGCGTGTTCTTGGTGTAGCTCCGAATCTCCTCGGCGCACTGCTCGGACTGGTAGTCGAAGACGGCCTCGGCGCCGTAGAAGCGCACTAGATCCGCATTTCTGGGTGAACAGGTGGCGATGGCGCGGTAACCAGCTCTGGGATTATAGGTAGTCAGCGACAGCCCGAATACGTGAAAGCTCCGTATCAGAAAGAAACAGAAAAGCATCTACCGGCGCAGAAACTGCAACGCCATCGTCCCCGTGGCGGTACTTCCCCCATAGACCAGCACAAACTCGTCCTTTCGCTCTGAGCAAGCGCACGGATCAATCGCCAGCCCCAGCTCATCCCGAAGAGCCAAAGCCATAGTTGCCGGACCCGCGCCCCCGATGGCCGCCGCGTCCGTAAATGACAAGTGCGGAGGAATGGCCGCCAGAATGTCCGCCGTGGCTCCGACGTACTCGGCAAAGGCCCCGACAGCGAGGTCGGCTGGGTTCGCCCCGTGCACTCCGCCGCACACGCGATCCCCGACCTTGAACCGCGAGCTCGCCGCAGATCCAACGGCTGCTACTGTGCCGGCGAAATCGCACCCGGAGATCGCGCCCGGAGTCGGGAAGTTCGCGAACATTTTGTAGTCCGTCGGGTTTAGTGCTACTGCTGCCGTGCGCACTAGCACCATGTCCGGAGCGATGGGGGGGATGGGCGCGTCGCGGACGTGACCCAGCTCACCATTGGAAAGGCATACGATTGCACGTTGCAGTTGTGGAATCTTGACGGATTTCTGGGGTTCGTGGAGTGCGTAGCCCATTGTTGGTGTTTGGTTTTGTGGGCGGTAGATGGGCCCGTTGTGAAGTTGTGATATAGATCAAGATAGAGTCGGGCTGGGGCCATTTCTCGAAGATATAATCCATCAGAGCCTTACAGTGGCCGGAAATATCTGGCGTGGTGTTTCAAACTCACTGAGTAGTTGGGATTTGATACAGTATGGATTTGCCGATATTCCTGCATAGACAATGTCTCCGATACAGGGTTTGCCTCCGAAGGCCCAAAAGTCCCCGAATTTATTCGGCTATCGCGCCCTGGGGCATGCCCTGTTCATGAAGTGGTTGAACATCGAGACACTCTCACCGTTATAGTATCTTCTGCCTCCGCGAGACTACCCTCAAGTGGAATCAGGCAGCCGCCAGTTCAACTCATGGTGCCAAAAACATTGTACGAGTTCCAGCCCCTCGACAGTGTGTATACCCGAGATCCAAAAGATTCTCGAATGTTGATACTAACGCGTACCTCGACAAAGAAAAAGGCAAATCCTACCCTCTGTCAACATAGAAAGGCAACGTGGTCTTAGTAGTCAACACCGCCTCAAAATGCAGTTTTACGCCGCAATACCGCGAGCTCGAGCAGCTCTACCAGCAAATCGACTCGGAGTATCCGAGAAAATTCGTCGTCCTCGGATTCCCTTGCAATCAGTTCGGCAACCAGGACCCCGGAACCGACGACGAGATCCAGGCTTTCTGTCAGGTAAACCACGGGGTCAGCTTTCCGGTGCTCCGCAAGGTCGATGTGAATGGTCCGAATGCGGACCACGGAGCCGATAAACAACCAGCCGAGAGCTCACCAAATTAAAAGGTCGGCAGAAGCACTAGAGAAAAGTAGGCGCAGCAGTCTTTTCTATTCTACATTTCTATATGCTAATATAGACATGTGGTATGGGAACAGCCATAGGCAGCCATGATCACAAGCCAATCGACTACTGCCGTACCCACTCGACATACTGGAACAGTGGGGACGGAGGGCAGATTTCTACTACTCTGGCGAGAAACGTCGCAAAGCTGCAGAAATAAAATTTAGACGACGGAGATATATAAGATGTTTACGCCAATTTACATCTCTTTCCGTCCGATACCAAAAAACAACCACACGAGGGCTTCAGTTCACCCCTGCTATATAACAGAGTCAACATGAACATGAGCATCCTACCAACCTGCATACATGGCATTCAATCAGTAATCGCTCTTGTGATAATAGGGTGCTCAGCAGCCAGACAATCGGAAGAATCATCCAGCGGATTTGCACTGGCTATATTTACCGTGAGTTTGTTCTTATAAACCCGGGTCCATTGTACGTAGTTAGTCCTACTCACAGAACAACTAGTCCATCGCAACCATCCTCGCAGCAATCTACATCGTTACCACATCTTTCATCGCAAAGGTCTTCTTCAAGCTCTAGGTCGCCGTTGCGTCCAACGCCTTTACCCTGACTTTCTGGGTCATCACGATCGGAGTCATGGGCGCCCATCACTCAGGCGCATGCGGCGGCGGGTACTAACATAATCATTGCTATAGGAAGCGAGATGATCATGAGACGGATAGTCTTTGGGCTGCGACGCTTGCGTTAAGTGTGATTGATGGGTATGTGTTCTGCTTAATTGCTCCTGTTTCGTTGGGAATGATCTACTCACCTGGGACCGTGTAGGATACTTTCTGCCATCGCGCTTGGCATTTCTTGCTGTCATAGGAAGCCTCGAGAGAATATTCCGGAGAGTGCGTGAACTACTTGTAATACGTCCAGTGTGTACTATATACTTAGACACGCGGTTTGCCGAGACATAGGTTAATGCCATCGGCATCTCACATAGTGCTCAATTATATATCTTACCCTGAAACTGTAATGTCGACATGAAAGCAGCCGCATATAGTATTAATGGATAGTATTTCTCTAATAGCAGCCAGATCTTCTACAATGAGCAGATGATAACTATTAAAATATGTTCTCATCCAGAATATTCGTAATATACTATCATCATTCGACGGTCCCAATCGCGGGGCGGTCCCGATCCGCCGCCCTTGAATTTTTTCCTCTTCACAAACTAAACTAAACTTAACTTCCTTAACTCACTCTTTATCCCGAATACCTACACTACAAGACCCAATAACCCCAATCCCAGTCCACTTCCGACCGAGCCAAATCTACTCAATCACTCTCACCCCTGATCTATACTCCTCAAAAAAGAAAAAAAAAAGCAAGTACCCTGCGCACCTGCTAGCACCCCGCGACAACAATGACCTCACCAGGCCCAACGATCGACAACTCCCTTGACGACATCTTCGGCTCCTCGCCACCCCACGAACCCTCTCGGGCAGTAAGCTGAGCCTGCTCCTCACACCTCCTAACTTACCGTCGAACCCTCCGAACTCCCCTCCCTCCGCCGCCAACACGTTACCGCCGGCTATCGCGACGGCATCTCCGCAGCCAAGGGCGAACACGTCCAGGAAGGCTTCGATGGCGGGTTTCCCGTCGGAACGCAGCTCGAGATGCGCGCGAGGACAGTCTTGAGTATCCTGGAGGGAATTATGAGGGGGTACGAAAGTCGGGGTGGGTCGGCGGTAGTAAAGAAGCAGCCGGCGAGGATAGGAGCTTCAGCTGGAGCTGGAGCGGCGGCAGCAGGTTCCAAGAAGGGAAGAAAAGAGGGGCAGGGTGCGAAAGAACTGGACGATAAGACAAGATAGGCGCGACGAGACGAGATTCTGAAACTGTACTAGAGCGCTGTCAAGGCGCTGAATGTGCAGAGCGTGTTTGGGACCCTGGAAGAAGGTGGCGAGGACGAAGAGGGGAAACCGAGCCCGGAAACTCAGCTGGCGGGGAAGGGCGATAGGGTTGTCTCGAAGTGGGAAGATAGAGTTCTGGTTGCGCATTGGGAGGAGAATATGGATACTTTGCAGATGAAGGAGGACGGCGTGGGTAAGGGCGAGAGCCAGAGCCAGGGTGTAGTGGCGGGTTCGCGCAGTTGATCGAGCTTGTCCTGCCCTACTGGCCTGCTTTACCCTATGGACCGACGACCCTCTTCAGGGTTCAGCTTCCCTCCCTTATTTTCCCGATCTCACCGCGCGCTACCTACGCGGTCATGGAAGTCAAGCTTCGTTTCAGACCCCGGGCACGGCGACCCGGGATGGGAAGAGGATACCAACGCCCAGAGGCGGTTTCCGTTTTATACCGCGGACCCCCCTGCGGAAGCCCACCTGCAAGACGACTGGCTAGTCGATTCCAAAGTCTTGTTACGGTCAGGAATACATTGTTCTCTGCCACAATGGCGAGCACAGGCCCTCACTATAGTTCCAGATAGAACGTGCGCCTTTGGGTTACAGAACTGGCCTCTCTGTCCAAATTGTGGTCTTATCCGTAACGATACCGCTGAAGTATCCAGGAGATGGGCGCACCTTCTAGATTGCGGATTCTCTCCTTCTGTTGATCAGGTAATAGTCGTCGCTTGTCGCTGGTTTATCAGACGGCCGGATTTGTGCGACTCGGTATTCTTTACTGGCTGATTGATCACAACCCAGTCCGTAAATACTCTGCGCGCCAATGGTAACTCGGGCTTTTGTGTCTGGACCTCTTCAGGTTCGGCACTGCCAACTCTCCTTTATGGACAGCGGAGTATTTTATCAGCCTGCTTTCTCATTTTTATGGAGGGACAGATCAAACAATGTGCCTGCCTTGTGATCCCTGGTACGATTACAGCGATAGAATTATCGTCGTTCCTCTGTTATGGCCAGCGTGGCAACAAGATCTTGCTCTGACACGACAAACATTCGAGTTTGTGGGCAAAGCTATCCTAGTCCTCATGGGCAAATCTGTCACGGATAGCAGTGGGTTGTTTCCGTAGTGTCCTTGGCATTCGTCTTTATCATGAACAGTCTCTATGCGTATCTGAAGGAAAGAACAAGCGTTCGCAGTATCTCCAATGTGATAACGGCTGGTGACTTCTTGGAATCGTTTATCAATGATGTTCCGTGGCTGATGTCGATTGACATAGAAGAAGCCTAAGAAGAAGCTTTCATCGTCGATCATCTCGTCATTACCTCCAGTCAACCAACAATCATTTTAACGAGCTGTTTGTAAATGGTTGTAGATCAAATCACTTCCTTTACAGGTTTCAAAATTTAGATTTTAAACCGACTTCCAGAAGCGATTTTGTCAACCCGATTATAGTCATCGCGATGATGAGTTTTTGGTGCAACCGCAACAAGAATCTTGATATTGCAGGTGTTTGTTCGGTTTTGGTTCCAATGTCAGGTTGAGCAGCTGGAGGAACAGTCAGTCTTCTCGTATCTGATAGTAGCTGAGGCCAGATATTCAGGTTGTTTCGCAGACTTGTTACAGGCAGATTCTGCACCTGTGAGCTTGCCATCTGCTATATGTTCTTCTTCGCCAGAGACTACTGAAACGCTCACTATTTTTGACGCTGATGTGAAGCTGTCGAATCACTTCGCCATTCTTGAAGGTTGCCTTCGACCAGACTTGTCAAATTCCTCGATTATGATAAACACAAACATGACCGGCACTGGGCCATATTCTCTGTCTGTCGAGTCAATCCTGCAATTGATTGAAGTTTGGCAGTTTATGGGTAGACGCATAAAGGTCAAACGCGAGTGAATCTTGAAGTACCACTTTCAATTTATATCGTTCACAAGAGTCACAAGGCCCTGATGACTTGGAGTGTGTACGATCTTTTGGGGAGTCGACAAATCGCGACGCAGCCATCGGGTACTGGAAGTTGATACACCCATAATATCTGCCCTTCAGGTTGGCAAAAAGTTCGCTGCTCAGCCCAAGTTACCGAATGTAATCCAGAGTTTGTGCAGTTGGGAACGTGGAACCATTCAAATGGATCTAGATGGCGGTTTCCTTCAAAGGGTGGGTTTTCGGGAATAGGTCTGAGTGCGATGCATGAACATGATTGCGAACCAACAACAAGATCTTTCCACAAGGTCCTAACCCCAGGATAGTTTGCGGATGGATTGGGGAACGCTTTCTGTCGGTTGACTTGGTCATTTCCCTAAGTAGGCTGCGGCATAACCGCAACCGCGGCTATAGGATTGATAACCATCACCGCATCTGCAGTAATGGTTATAAGATTTGATAGCCATCACCATCACCGCAAATTTGAGGTTAACCGCGGTTAAACCGCGGTTAACCTCACTATGGCCGCACCAGCATAACTCTCGTTTAATTATCAGTTTTGAGCCTCCTACATGATATTTATGAAGCTTATGTAAGCCTATTATCCTCTGTTTTAAACATGCGTTCGAGTTTTTCCAATACAGATCTCTTATTTTGTGACAACCATAGTGTAAATAAGGGAAATCAAATGGTAAATACTAAATAGACTCTTTATTTACTTAGATTTACCCTTTGTTTATATCAAATTATGCTATTTGTAGTTGTATTTTTAAGATTTGGGATAGCCTACAAGTCGAATCCTGAAAATATATATTTTATCCGGATATCAGAGCCTTGTAGTACTTGCTTAGTTCCTATATAGTATTACTGCCGGAAGACCCTACGATCTTTCATTCTTTCTTTTTAGTGTGGTAAGATCTCTAAAGCAGTAAGAGATCCTTACATCAAGTAACTTTATATCCATTTAAAAATGCTAAGATTATTCAAAGATAGTACGGGCCGTAATCCTAGGCCGTAAGATTATAATGCGGCTCTGTTGCAGCTACGGTAAGGTTAACCGTGTGACTTCCTGAAATCAGGGAACTTCCTGGATTAACTTCCTGGATTGACTTCCTGAGCCAACGAACCTCCCGGTA